CTGTGGTCTGTCCTAAATCCAGCCAATTATCAGACACAATTGCCTACACCAAACTGTCTTTAAAAACTCTGTCTCCCAAATTCTCTTGGAGGTGGATTTGAGAAATTTTTCCATCTCCATGCTTAGTGCTATATGGAGTAAACTCTTTCTCTGCAGCAAACCCTGCTGTATCAGTGCATTGGCTTCATCATGGACACTGGGCAAATGAACCTGGTTGGGCAGCAACAAACTAGGGGCTCATCTAGGATTGCCACTGTAGGGATATGCCCATGGTTTGGCAGCCTCTCAATCGCACAGCAGACTTAGAAACTTGCCCTAACAGCTGTTCAGTTTTCTTGCACTGAGCGCCTTCTCTGGCTCCATCCCTCCTGGTGGGACTTTGTTCCCCCATGGTGTTTCTACCTGTTTACAGGACAGAAACAATTTCTGGAAACTGAGGACATCCTGGTGAATATTCAAAGCAAGTACAGCATCCCTGTCCTTCTCTGGTTTGCTGCCTCTCTGAAGACATTTTGGCTCCTTCGTGAGTCTTGGCTGGCTTTCCTATATTATAGGAAAAGTCTTGTCTTAGGGAGACTTCTCCCTGCAAGATGGAGATTAGGGAGCATCTCTAGAAGAATACTCTTAGAATTGGAAGGTTTTTTGTTTTGATAGTCACTTTATAATCAGTACTTCTTTAAAAATTATGGCTAAAATAGATTATTTAAGGTCTCTTCAATTCAAAAATAAATTTAAAGATCTCTTATTGTAAATAACTGTCTTAGTTGTATTTATAAAAAAGATCAGAACAAAAGAATATTTAAAAATTTTATGGCCAGCCTTAAAAATTATCCTGAAAAAAATTGAAGTGCAAATATCTTGTCTAAAACAGAGATAAGAATCCTTTGGACACTGCCTCTGTGGGAAGAAGGGCAGAAACTGATTCGCCTCATACCCTAAGGGTCCAAGTTTTGTGTTTTCATCTGGGCATCCTATGTTCAATTATTTGGCATGGAATGAACTTGTTCTGGTTTGGTATTTGTATAAATTGTGCTGTTTGTTGATGCTAGTTAGACTTTCCTTTCTTTGAGCTCTTTCTTATGACTTTTTAGACATCATAAAAACTGTTATTTTTATGTTTTACTGTTTTTTTTTTCCTCTAAAGAGGTTAAAAAACAACAAAAACCCCAAATCTTGCCTCCTTGATTACATTATAATATGGGTTAAGGCTGAAAGGAGTGTACTTAAAATATTCAAAAATAAAACTGTTAGCTGTTTGTTCTGTTTACTTTCATTCCTCTCTACTTTTTCTTTTTTGCTGATCCCTGAGCCTTAGCCAGGCAAAGGCATCTGATTATTCAAGGCAAATGCTGAATCATACTGTCTATGAATGTCCCTAACCACATGGCAGGGCTAGAGTCTCTCTGAACCTGTTCTGGTTCAGCTATCTGATTTGTGGGTTGTTCTTTGCTCAATAAAACTCTGTTAAATTTAATCTTTCAGAAGTGTGTTATGTATGCAGGAGGAGATGATCTCAGCCTAATCTTTTCTGTCAAAGGAATATTCTGTCTGATATCCAACTTTATGTAATTATTAGCACTTAGCACAAACTGTACAGCAACAATAACCTTGGTTTAATCTCCTTTATTGGAATACCAAAAAACCCCCACATTCACTAACTAACTTCCTTGTTCTCCCTTTTACCCTAAGAATGCGCCTTAGCCAATCAAGCAAGGCAAAACTGTGAGGTCGAAGTCCCTACCAATGGGATAAGACATGGCCCTACGTCTGCCTTAGGGATAAAAAGATGAAGAACTTCCCCATAACGCACTCCTGGCTGGCTGCTTTTGCTGCCGCTGCTGCGCACCCTTCTGATCAAAAGTGAAGATTTTGCCTTGCCACGACAATTTGCAGCGTCTGTTTTCTTAACGACACCGCGGATTACTTCCAACAATTCGGAGGCTTCTCCAGTGATCGCCCATTTTCTTTGGAAGGAGGACTCGATCCCTGCTCCTGGGGAAGACGTGTCATGCTACCCCCTTGTGGCAGCCCTTGGGATTAAGGTGACCAACACACCCCAAAGCGGTAAATGAACCTGAGCTCTTAGCAACACAGGGAAAAAGGCCTAATCAGGATCCCTGGCAACCAGGTAACTCTGTGCACAGACTAAGGTAAGAAAAGTCACCGGGCAAGGAAGTATTTCGTTGGTTGTCAGAATATTACAGAGGGTGTGTATGTGTGACTGAGATGTGCCTTAGGCATGAAGTGATAGTGAAGTCCTGATTCGCAGTTCCATGGCTGCCTCATACGACTGAAGGTGGTACCTAGTCTTGAACTTGATCCTAGTCAGGGGTTTATACTGACACACAAATGTTAAGAGGAGCCTAAATTTCCACAAGGAAGTGTCAGGAAATGGACAAAGTGGAAGTGAAGAGTGTAAGAAACCTGCAAGTTGGGGGGTTGAACCTTTAGACTGGACACATACAGAGCAAAAGTTAAGAGTGTTAGAAACCTCCAGGTGTGTGTGTTGGGGGGTTGAACCTCTAGACTGAGATGCACACACACAACCAGGAAGTCGAGATGGAAATAACACAAGAAAATCTCTAGAGAAAATAAAAGTTTCCCTGATAGCCGGCTAGGACTAATAAATGGTAAAATCTTATTGTTTCATTTAGACACAAGAGCCCATTCTTAAACTCCCTTTTTCTTGGCTTGAGTCAAAACTTGGGGATGCCTGTTTTCTGGCCAGATCTCTAGGTCTTGGTTTGACTCAGATTTCAGAGATGCCTGATATCTGATCAGTACCTCAGGTTGTTTAGCAGGGGGACACCCCATGCAGACTCTCAGTGTCTCAGTGTATGACCATTCCTAAAGTCCTCCTTCTTTTCTTTCTCCTAGTTGTGATCAGAGGCAACATGAAGTTACATGACAATGAAATTTGGCCCAAGAATGGATCTCTTAAACCTAATGCCATTCTGCCACTCAACCTTCTGTTGCTGCTGGCACAGCAAGGAGGTCTCAAGTTCTCTATGTTCAGCCTTTCTTTAAACTTGCTAGAAATCCTAATCTTCACTCTGTCTGCCACATGTTACTTTTTACTTCTGCATCTTTCTCACTGCCTTCATTTTCCAGATAAGATTTCTCTTTTGATTCTCCCTGTTCCCCTTCCTCTTTCTTCTTCTTCTGTCCCCACCGCTCTTGCCTGGCCACACTTCCCAAGGCTGGACAGGCTTCATCCCTGCCTGTACACCACCTCCCTCTTTGGGAAGCTGCAGGGTCAGAAGGCATTGTATATTACTCAGAACCAGGATAAAAGTCCAGTATTTTCCCTTCATGATTGTCCTCTTACTACTTAAATCCTAACACCCAGGAGGGACAATATATCTTAGCAATGCTCTTCATCCCCCATTCAGCCCTGATATTCAGCATAAACCCCAAAAGCTTGAAAAGGGGCCTCAGAATCCACAAGTGGAAATTTAAAACTGGCCTTCAAGGTCTTTGATAACCAGGATGGGGAGAGGCAAGAGGAAAACGAGAGAATGGGACTGATAGCAACCAAAGAGCAGAAAAAAGCTTTCCAAATAGTGGCTACCACTATAAAAGAGTTTTTCAGAGACAGAGATACCCTGAAGGCTAAGGGAAGAAGGCACCAGGATCACATCCTACCCTGGGAAGTACACCTTTCTTCCTCTACAACCATCTGGGTACCTGGAGAGCAATGCCCCAGGTAGCAGAGCTTAGGGCCAGAATTGACAATGGTCCCCTGAGCCAGCATCTTCAATACCCACAGATGCACTGGAACTGCTTCAGTCTGATGGACATGTCCAGATTTGGAACAAGTTCACATTGGGATAGTCCAGCCTCAGATAACTTTCTGTCACAGGTAAGCATATTGACTTTAGTAAATCCAGGCACCATTACTCTACTCTCCCTGAATTTTCATTACCTCTGTTTCCCTCTCCTATCTCCATCATCAGGGTGAGAAGTAAAATACAAAGCCCCTGTAAAATACAAAGCCCCTGTGTATTCCATAGCCTTTCTGACCACTGGGAGAAGTTTTTGCCCATTCCTTTTTGTTCTTCCCAACTGCCTCATTCCAGACTGGGAAAAAATATTATGATTCAGTTAGACACCTAACTACTTTAACACCACAGGCTTCCCACTCAGGCTCCCAGAAAAACCTAACTGAGACTTTACATACAACCTTCTTTTCCCCTTGATCCAGCCCTGGGGTCCTAACTCTATGAGTTTAGCAAAACAAAAACAAAAACAAGATAGAAGGAAAAAATAAGTAGGAGAGAGAGAGAGAGAGATAAAGAAAGTTAAAGATATGAGAATATATTTTAATATGTAAAGTTAAAAAGATACTAATTTTGTATAGAAAGGAAACTTGTATGGAAATTTGTGTCCTAAAAATAACTTGTGGTTTAAGAAAGAAAGTTTGGGACAAAAACAGAAAGTCCAAGCATGTCAAAGATAGTCTGTGTAAGTTGAGATAAGGTTCATGGAGGAGAATTTAGGGAAGGATTTTGTATGTGATTAAACTGGCTATAGTGAAAGGTGAATCTCTGTTTAAAACAAAAAAGTTCTCTGTTCTCAGTTTATACGACTTTATCAAGCCTTTTGGATTTCTATTCTTGTACACATGTTTAAAGTAATGGGCAAAAATTCAGAACTTAGAGGATCAATCTTCCACTATGGATTTAAAAAGTAAAGTTTGTTAAACTTTCTATCTTTTGCCTGCTAAAGCTGCAGTTTCTAAGTTACCAGTATTGAAATAAAACTCACTAAACTATGTTTTGTGGTAAATTCAAGACCAACCTGGAACAGCCAGTTACTCATTCAAAACTGAAGGAAAAAAAAAAAAAGAAGTAAAAAGAGTCCTTGCAAGTTTCATGATTCCTGTCCTGCCTCTACTCTCACTTTTAAAACCATCCAATTCCAACCCCCTTTGTAACCCAAATGAACTCTCAACTCAGGTAGAGACATCTCAACTTCCATGTCAAGCAGGAAGCAACTGCATAAGATGACATCTCCATTCATATTCCCCAGATTTTGAGTTCATTAAATATATAATTTTTTAACCAAAGAGGGGGGAAATGAAAGTTGATCTTACTAAAAACCTACATAACAGAAAAAATAAATTATCAAACAGAAAGAGAAATAAATTTACAACATTATACCTATATCTTTCCCCAGTGACCCATCTAAGGTAACTGTTGTAAAAGTCAAGGATTTAAGACAAACAGTTGCAATAGAAACTGGGTATAATGATTTAAATGCCTAGTTAAAATGGATCAAATATTCTGTCCACACCCTAATAAGAGTGATTGTTACCCCTGTGTGACAGGAAGACCAGAGATCCAAACAGCTCCCTTTCCACTTGGATAGTCTATAAATCCTATGGGCATGCACTGTATGGTAGTTCTCTTCCAGGAGACCATGGCATGGGGAAATAAATCGTGCAAGACCCTATCCTTGCTTTTCTCTAACATGAGAGGTCTTGTGGTTCAGCCCCCGAGGATCATGAGGCCACCAGCCTCTGACATCCATTTTACCTTGTGTCTCTCTAGACGGGAGGAGAAGGTAGCATCTCTTGGAAACACAACAGGATACAATCAAAGCCTGGTCTTCAAGAAGCTACAGGATCAGTCTTCCCTCTCCATACCCTGAGAAGACATCTGGAGGTATCATAAAGACCAACTATTTGAGGTCCTACTGAAAAGCTAGAGTGGCACCTGCACTTTGGGGCAACTGACCATTTCTTTTACCCTGGTGTTCCAATCAGATCCTAGTTGAGGAAAGGGGACATCAGACAAAAAGAAAAATAGATGCTCCCAGAGAATCTTTTGATCTCCATATTTTCATTAATGCTATTGGAAGCCCCTGAGAGGTATCAAATGAATTCAAAACTAGAAATCAAATAGCTGGCAAATTTGAATATTTATTCTTCTGGTGGTCCACTATAAATAAAAATATAGACTGAATCAACTACATATACTATGATCAAAAAAATTTTGGAAGTTATACCAGAGATGCCATAAAAATTATAACCAAACAACTAGGGCCCACCAGTAAAATAATGTGGGAAAATAAAATGGCTTTAGATATAATATTAACAGAAAAAGGTGGAATATGTGTTTCATGATTGAAGGCCAGTGCTACATTTATATCCCCAATAACACAGCTCCAGACAGCACACACACACAAAAAAAAACTCTATAAAAACTTACTACCTTGACTAATGAACCAGCTGAAAATCTCAGGGATAGATAACCCTTTCACTAGCTTCATAGAGCAATGGTTTAAAAAAATAAAAAGGGTTGATAACAACAATACTAACTTCCTATTATTGTATTTAATGTTTTAATATTAAAGAAATAGTACATTATCCCTTATATTAGGAGACTAATCCACAGATTAATAAAAACCACCTTAACTAAACACCCTCATCCACCTTCCTATAAAAACAAATTGTTACTATCAAAAAAACCAAGAACACCAAAATCAGCTCCTCCTTACTGAATTTGAGGAAAAGAGTGGAAAAGTCTAATATAAAAGGGGGAAATTGTAGGAGGAGATGACCTTGGCCTAATATTTTTTTCCAAAGGAATATTCTGTTTGATATCCAGCTTTACATAATTATTAGCACATAGCACAAACTGTACAATAACGATAACCTTTGCTTAATCTCCTTTATTGCAATACCAAAAAATCCACATTTACTAACTTTAATTCCCTTGTTCTCCCTTTTACCCCAACAACACACCTTAGCCAGTCAGGTAAGAGAAAGATTGTGAGGTCAACGTCTCTACCAATGGGATGAGACGTGGCCCTAGGTCTGCATTAGGGATAAAAAGATGAAGAACTTCCCTGTAACACACTGCTGGCTGGCTGCTTTTATTGCCGCGATGTGCCCTTCTGATCAGAAGTAAAGATTCTGCCTTGCTCAGACAATTTGCCATGTCTTGTTTCTTGAATGACACCACGGGTTACTTCAATAGTTATGAAGGAGAGTTCCTAGAGACCTCCAAGGAGCACAAAGTAGACAAGCAAGGTAACAACCAGGTTGTACCCATTACTGGGGCTTGTGGATACGTTTTTTCTCAGATCCTGAAGCTCCTCAGATTTGTATTTTAAGCTCTCTGAGTTTGTTTGAATGAATTCTTGATCCTAACTGGTTTGAAAGTGGCAATAGAAAATATACTAGGATCAGATTGAACCTAATTATCCTGCCTCAATGTCCAAGGTGGCTGGGACTATAGGTGTGCGTGACCACACCTGGCTGATTTTTCTACCTTTTTGTGGACGTGGGGGTCTTGGTTTATTGCTTGGATTGGTCTCAGACTCCTGGCCTCAGACAGAGCTCTTGCTTTGGCCTCCCAAAGTGTTACGATTGCAGGCATAAGCCAATGTTCCTGAAGATTAATTTGATATCTTGAAACAATTTTATAAAAAAATTATATATACACATACACACATGTATATATACACAAATTCTGGAAATATAGGAAATTTCTGTTTACAAGTGTGTCTTAGAGGGAGGACTGAATGAGTAGAAACTCTTACCACTGTTCTAAATTTATGTGACAAATCTTACCTTGGTTTAGGGTACTTTTCCTGGCTATTTTATCTTAAATGAAACTTTTCATATAATGCTTTTTTCCCTTTGTACCAAAAAATATGATATAATATTTATGCCTAAAGTCCTAGCTCTGTGCTTTTAAAATAAAAATTTTCTGCCTTGTTTCACGTAGGAGTCATCATTTTAGAATGCAAATTGTTGCCAAGCTAATAATTGTTTGGAGCAATAAAATAGGTAATTAAAAGATTAATAGTCTGAATAATATATATGTATATATTGAAAGCCAGCAAATAAAAGGTCTTCTTCTGTCTTTATGTGTGCATGTTTGTATGTCTATATATGCCATGTGTATGTGATATCTTACTACCAAGACATGTAAAAACACTCTAATCAATTTGTTTAAAAAATAAGTGCTTAAATCAAATATTTTATCATCAATCTAGGGAAAAACTCAAATTCCTTTTAGTTCACCTTTTGAATAAACTTCAAAGTGGGGGGAGAGAAAGAAAGAGAGATGCATTCAGTTTGCCTCCTCACTGATTTGCATTTCAGTTTGTCTATATTAGATCTTATGATTGTTTGGAAAACTGAGTCTCTAATATATTAAAGAGTAATATTTTTGCATTTTAAATATTTGAATTATCAGTGTGACTAAATGAATTCTAAAGTAACCTGTAATCTTATTTTGCAACAAGTGTATTATGACAGACAATTCATGACTTCCCGCTTATAAGTTTTCACTAAAATTTCAAGTTGCTAAAATAAGAATTCAAGTTGATACATATGGTTCTATATATCAAGTTTACCATAAATTAAATGTTTTTAATAACAAAAAAATTAAGAGAAGTGTAAAATGTCTTATTAAATATATATAATTTTGTCTAATTCAGAGGGTGATTTAAATTTTGATTAAAAATACAAATTTGAGAAGAAAATAAAAACAAGATAGAAGGTAACTAGTGAGTAAGAGAAAGAGATGTAAAAAGGCAATGAATATAGAAACATATTTTTGTTAAGAAAGGTTAAACAGAAAGGAGACTAATACTGTATAAGAAAGAATCTTGTATGGAAATTTTTTTGATTATAAGATGACTGGTTATTTAAGAAAGGGAAATTTAGCACAAACACGGAGAGTTATAGGTATGTTTATAAATAGTCTGTGCAAATTGAGATAAAGTTCATTAAAAAGAATTTATAAAGGAATTTTGTATGTGATCAAGTTGATCATATTTTTTTTGGTTTAAACAACAGTTTGAGATATCAATTTTCTCTTAATGAAATGACATAATGTACTATTTTTGATTCTATGTCCTGTTTCCTTTTCTTAATTAAAAAATTACACTACAGAAGGTTTTTATTTACCTTTTACATAATGGCCTAAAAGAAGACAAGATTTTATGCTTAAAAAGATAATCCCTGTGTTGTCTTTATTAGATTTTTCAAGTAACTAAAGAAATTAAACTTTTGAAAGGGTTAAGGTTTGCACCCATATGACTTCTGTGTTCCCTTCAGAATCTTTTGATGATTATCACTCTTGATTAAATAGAAGGCCATTATTTTATAATGTCTTGTGATTCTATTTGAACAAATGTTTCAAGCCTTTGAGATCTGAGAAACTTTCTAAAACTCAAATCCTAAATCCAGCCTTTTGACCTCAAACTGGTTTTTGTGCATTAGGATCACTGAAACACTAACAGAATCACATTAGGCTTAGTTGACATGTTAAAAATATACAGGAAACATTGTCAAATATGAAATGGTGTTTAACTTTCTTTGGATTATATTTATATAATCATGTTATTAATATATGTTCCTATATTATAAAATATTGATATGTCTCGGTGTACTTTATCAGTAAAAATTAGGATTACATTGCCATATGTCACAAAAATATCCAACTTTGTTGGTCAATTGTCCCTTTAATTATGGCTAGTCTAAGACTTTTGTCATCAATAGTCAATTATTATTTTGCTTTGATTCATCTTAGAAAGTGTTTTTTTTAAACTGGCTATGTCAAAGTTTGCTTGTTCAAGGAAAGACATGGAAAGGACTGACAAATTCTCTTGAATACAGGTTTCTGATAACTTTGTAGATCATATACTATTGGACTAAAATAAAACAAACTTCCTGGACTTTAATTCGAAAGCTGATGTGTCTGTGAGTTTTACTAACTCAACTTCAGACAGAACAGAAATTACTTACATGGGACCGAACTAAAATTTTTATGACATTTTGTTTGAAACATCACTGATTTGTGTTGTTTTCCTGAAGTCAAGAAAATATTTTTTGAGCCAGGTGCAGTGGCTCACGCCTGTAATCCTAGCACTCTGTAAGGCCAAGGCAGGAGGATCATTTGAGCTCAGGAGTTCGAGACCAGCCTGAGCAAGAGTGAGATACTGTCTCTACTAAAAAAAAGAAAAAAAAATCAAAAGAAATTAGCTGGACAATACACACACACACACACACACACCAAAAAAAAAAAAAAAAAAAAATTAGCCGGGCATGGTGGTGCATACCTGTAGTCCCCGCTACTTGGGAGGCTGAGGCAGGAGGATCGCCTAAGCCCAGGAGTTTGAGGTTGCTGTGAGCTGCTAGGCTGATGTCACAGCACTCTAGCCCAGGCAACAGAGCGACACTCTGTCTCAAAAAAAAAGAAAAAAAAATCCTTCTTTTGAGCTATTTATAACTTACACCAAAGTCTGCATTTGAAGCAAAATTTGAAGCATTTATTTTTCTATTTGATTTCTCTAGAATTTGAAAGCTATTTGTGAGTATTCTTAATGCATGGCAAAATTGTTATCTGCATAAGTTTAATAAGAATCAGTTTTCTACTACAATAGGACACATTGAAAACATGGGTTACTTTACCAAGGCTTTGCTGGAATGGCATATTTTTAGAGATCAGCAGACTGTGTTAAAGAATTAGGTTGAATTTATAAGGTTGATAGAGAGCACATTGGAAAATTTAGCCAGGTACTTCATCAATAATATTTCCTGATCTGTAGGGCATAAAGAATGCTACCTTCTGACAGAAACAGGAATTCTAAGTTAATTTGCAACCTGAGACAAGAAAAATTTGCCCAATTCATACAGGTATCTAATGGCACAGATAAATTCTTGGCTTGATTTGACAGTCTTTTTAGTCAAACCTGAGATTCCTCATGAAAAAAGTAAAGTCTGTTTGTTGTTGTTTTTGTTGTTTTGTTTTGTTTTTCTGAGATAGAGTCTTGTTCTGTTGCTGGGGCTATAGTGCTGTGGAGTCAGCCTAGCTCATAGCAACCTCAAACTCCTGGGCTCAAGTGATTCTCCTGCCTCAGCCTCCCAAGTAGCTAGGACTACAGACATGCACCACCATTCCCAGCTAATTTTTTCCATATATTTTTAGTTTTCCAGCTAATTTTTTTCTATTTTTAGTAGCGATGGGGTCTCGCTCCTCCCACCTTGGCCTTGCAGAGTGCTAGGATTACAGGCATAGCCACTTTGCCCAGCCCAGTTTTAAAAGAAAAGAAAAGCTTATATGGCTAATAATTATTCTGATTGCACATTATACAAATAGGCCAAGCATAATGACAATAAGTTTATTTTGGCATATAAATTGATCCTACATTTATTCATCTTTAATAAAAACTGAGAAAACGAGGAGAGAAAATATATGGTTCAGAAATAAAACATAAATCTATAGTTCATCTGTTATTAAATTCTAGTTGTGTCTACTGTCTTTGAACTTTTAATATTTGTCTACAATTTGGACTGAATCCTGAATTTCTCCTTGCTGTAAGTCTCCAAATAAAGTCCCCCATGGACTTCTTAAGAGAGGGTCACCAGGAATGTACCAGGATACCTGGTAGCAAAGTTTGCTAGAAATGCTAGTCTCTATCTACAGAGTATATCCCAACAGAGCCATGATTGGAAATCTGTCTATGACTTTAGGCCAGATTGCAGAAGAAACTACAAAAAGCCCTAAGGGTCAACAAAGGTCCCTCAACTCACTAGACCAGGTAGTCTTAGGTAATCAGGCAGTGCTAGATTTCCTGTTGGCTAAACAAGGGAGAGCCTGTGCAGTATTAAACACTACCTCCTGAACCTCAGGAAAACTTGAAACCTGAATAGAACAAAATTCCCAACAATCTGTGTGGCTATCATAGGGCTCTACAAGTGACCTGACACTTGATTGGTTGTCAGAATTATTCACTTGGATTCCCAAGAACTTTAGATCAGTTCTACAGTGGCTATTGAAGCTAGATATTATCTATCTTATAGTCCATTGTTCACTTAAGTATTGTCCAAAGGCTGTAAATAAGGGTACTGATGTTCTCATCATGCAAACCTTAGGTCTGAAATCCAGCAACTGTGGATATTTGCAGATGATTGCAAAATGGTTTCACTTCCCTTATTCTGGGCTAAACCTCAAGTCTGTTCCTTCTCAACTGGAAGAAGCCAGAGTGGTCGCTTGCCCTTTCCTTTCTCATTTGGCCCACATCTCTGCAATAAGGTTGGGTAAATGATCAGGGGGAATAGAAACCACCTTTACAAGTTCATAATGGGGTGCAAGGTGAGAACTCTGGTAAGGGCATAGCTAAAAATAAGGCACAGACCTTGCTAACATAATGATAATAGGTACTCACTGTCCCCTGTTTGCTTCTCTGTAAATACATCTCTGGAGTCACATATGTGATGGTCATAAAGATTCTTAGCTTTATCCATAGATCATATCACCTTTTTGAAAACTAGAGGTAATTTCTGAGATAATTTCCAGGTCCCCCACTCCAGTGGAACAGCTGACCCACCCAGACCTGGGGCACAACTGAGGAACTGACTCAACTGTTCTTGTGACCCCCAACTAAGAATCTGGTCAGCAAAGAAGACAATTTCTACAATGCTGTGATTCCACACTGAACTCAGCCAATTAGAACACTTGATTGCCTATGCCAAAATTTCTTTAAAAAACGGTATCTCCTGAATTCTTAGGGAAGTAGATTTGAGAAATGTCTCCCATCTCACTCCTTAGTGCTATGCAGATTAAACTCTTTCTCTGCTACAAACTATGCTGTCTCAGCACATTGGCTTCCTCTTGGACAGTGGGCAAATGAACATGGTTGGGCAGGAAGAATATGAGACCATTCTCTGGGATCATCCACCAGCTGCCAGGATTTAGGTTTTTTTACACTGGGCAGCATCCATTATGGAGGGGCAGTGTTATTTCCTTTCTAGAATAGACATATTCCCTGAATAGTTTTGCCTTCTCTGAATGAAAGTCTTCTGCCCAAACTACCATCCGTGGACTTACAGAATGTCTTCAGAACTGTCATGTAATTTACACAGCATTGCTTCTTATCAAAGAACACTTCACAGCTAAAGAAGTGCAATACTGGGCTCACACTCATGGAATGCACTATTCTTGCCATATTTTACATCATCCTGCAACAGCTGGCTTGGAAGGACAGTGAAATGGCCTTTGAAGTAGCAGTTACAGGACCAGCTAGTTGACAATATTATAATGGTCTGGTGCATGGTTCTACAGAACCTTGCATATGCACTGAATCAATATCCAAAATATGGTACTGTTTCTTCCATAACCAAGATTCACAGATCCAAGAACCTAGGTATGGAAATGGGAATGGTACCACTTACCACTATATCTAGTGACTCACTAGTAAAGATTTTTTTTCCTGTTCTCCAGATTCTATTCCCTTTTAGCCTAGTGGTCTTAGAACCAGGTTGAAGAATGCTGCACCAGGAGACAAAAAAAAAGAAAAAAAAAGGATTCTTTTCAACTTAAAGTTAAGATAGCTACCTGGCCACTTTGCGGTCCACATGTCCCTGAAGCAACACGAAAACAAGGGATTAATGGTGTGTTGGCAGTGACTGAAGTATGATGTAGAGAGTATACATTGTATTAACTATAACATATGCATTAACATAAAGAGGGGAAAAGAATTGAACAAGAAACATAGCTTATAGTAACCCCTGCCTTAATGATATGAAAGGAATAAGCTGAAAATATGATTTGAATATTCCTTCCATCGAAAACTAATGTTGAAATTCAATCCCTATAGGGCAATATTGAGAAGTGAGGTCTTAAAGAGTTGATTGGGTCATGAGGGCTTTGTTCTCATAAATGCATTAAGCCACTGATGTGAGTCTTAACGGTGCTTTATAAAAAGATGAAGGGAGACTTGAACTAGTGCCATCACCCACCTCACCATGTGATGCTCTGCTCTGCCTCAGGAGTCTGTGGAAAATCACCATGAACAAGAAGGCTCTCAGCAGATGTGTCCTCTCTATCTCAGACTTCTCAACCTCCATAACTGTAAGAAATAAATTTCTTTACTTAACAAATTATTCTTTTTAAACTATTGTGTTATAGGCAACAGAAACAAATTAAGACACCTTCTGTGTTTAAATAAGTGAAGTATCACAAGAATGAAAAAACAAGCACCAAAAGTATTCACCATCAAATTGGCATTAACTTATCAACACTATGTGCACATTCAGTAGTAATATTCATCAGCTGTCAGGCAGATGGGAGGGGAGAGGGGGGGATGAGTATATTCATACCTAATGGGTACAGTGTACACTTTCTGGGGATGGACACACTTGAAGCCTTGACTCAGGTGGGGCAAAGGCAATATATATAACCTAAACCTTTGTATCCCTGTAATATGCTGAAATAAAAATAAAAATAAAAACTAAAAATGTCACTGTCCTTTCTCATTGATTAAAGTATTACTTTAGAGAGGTAAAAATGTTTAATTAATTATAAATGCTCAAAATAACTGCATGTCCATATATTTTATCCTGATATTGAAAGAGAGAAATGTTGCTCAGATCAGCTCCATCTCTCAATCCCAGTCTTCAGGGTATAGGAGCTTGTTTTTTCACTGATGGCACAAATGTGTTGTAGATAACATATCCTATGTTTGTGGACCGAAAAACAACAGTATTGATTGTGTGGAAGTCTGTGGTAGTACAGTTTGCAGTCCCATGGCTTTGTGGGCTTTGAAGGCCTGGTTCCTAGACAACCCTGGTGATACCCAGCAGAATTCTGTGACTTGAAAACAGAGGGCTGTGTGGGGAAGAGTGGACAGTCCTCCCTGCTGTGGACTCTTTGTTAGTCAGCACATTTGCAGAGTAACCATTGAGCCTGTGTCCCTCTCTTAGATTTCTACATGGAGGGGGGGAATATGTTGTCCTGTGTTGTTGTTTCTTATTATTTCTACTACGCTTTCCCCACCTGTGTACAACACATTCTGAAGCAGTCATGTGGCCTTCATCTTTCAAAAACCTGTTTCTAAAGTCTATCTTCCCAGTCTGTGTAAGCAGAGGCTTTCCTAAACCCCCATGTTTGTAAATGATTTATCTCTATTTTTGCTTGTTTGTTTTGGCACCCTAATCACCCTGCTACCACGACAATACCTATATTGTGCATTTAGTTTTCAAAATTGGTATTATAATTCCACAATAAGTGTCCTCTCAATTTTTCAAAGGCTTGTAGGTATAATTCCTCTTTTAAAACTTGAAAAAGGAAACTATATCATGAATAAACTTTCAGAATGGAAAAATATGATTTATGTTTTGATATGTTTAAATATATTTAAATATACTTATGTTTTGAAATGTTAATGATCCACTATTTTTTTTTTTTTTTTTGAGACAGAGTCTTGCTTTGTTGCCCAAGCTACGGTGAGTGCCATGGTGTCAGCCTAGCTCACAGCAACCTCAAACTCCTGGGCTCAAGCGATCCTACTACTTCAGCCTCCTGAGTAGCTGGGACTACAGGCATGCGCCACCATGCCCGGCTAATTTTTTCTATATATATTAGTTGGCCAATTAATTTCTTTCTATTTATAATAGAGAGGGGGTCTCGCTCTTGCTCAGGCTGGTTTCAAACTCCTGACCTCAAGCAATCCACCTGTCTCGGCCTCCCAGAGTGCTAGGATTACAGGCGTGAGCCACCGCGCCCAGCCAATGATCCACTATCATTAACATTTCTCAACTTAGTATCTAATGTTCTGAAGTGATGTCTTTCTAAAAGCCTTTTGTGGTATCCTGAAGATATGCTGCCAAAAAATGTGATAAAATGAGGCTCTCTTGGGTATGAGAGGCACAGGCACCTAGTTTTGCAGATGTGGTTATTGACACTCAAATTGTTGACAGGGTAACAGGGAGTGTGAGTAGGAATGATAAAAAAGAAGTATATCCCTGGAATATTATCTCCTGTGTCCAAAGTTCTGGTGCATGTTTGTTTGTTTTTCCTGTTCATGGTTTCTTTTTATACCAAAAAAAGGTTTTTGACATATTTTTTAAAAAATTTTAAAATAATTTTAAAATCACAGATTTTCAAATATTCTACATAGATTTTCATATATCCTTTATCTTCCTGCAATGTAAATATAACCATAGCATGTCTATGAAAACACAGACATTGACAATGATGCAGAACTATTAAGTGAAGTACAGAGTTTCTACATATATTATCAGTTTTTCCAATAATGTCATTTGTCTGTGCTAAGATCTCATCCAGGATAGCACATTACATTCATGTCAGGTTCATTATGTATTTCTGCATATCATATTACCGCCTATTTTAGTGGCTCAAAACCACACACACCCTACTCACAGTTTTTCAAGAATCCAATGTACATGACAGAGAATACCTGAGAACTCAACTGAAATCTTGGGTGAGAAGGTCCTGCTTTCAAACTTCTGTGATTGTTTCTAGGAGTCATGTGCTGCTTAGGTTGTGATGGCTTCACTGGTCAATTATTCCAAACCTTATAAAAGAAAAGAATGAAGAACAGCTGGAAATACTCTTATAGATATTGGCCTAGGTAAAGAATTTATGATGGAGATTCCAAAGGCAATTATAGCAACAACAAAAATAGATAAATTATACTTGATTAAATTAAGAAGTGTCTGCACAGCCAAGTAAATAATTAGCAAAGCAAAAATAATTCACCATGACCAGGTGTGCTTTATTCCAGGGATGCAAGACTGGTTCAACAGATGCAAATCTATAAATGCAATTTGCCTCAGAAATAAAAGAAAAACAAAGACCATATGATTCTCTCAATAGATACAGAGAAAGCTTTTCACAAAGTCCAACACATCCTTATAAAACTCTTTTTTTTTTTTTTTTTTTTTTTTTTGAGACAGAGTCTTGCTTTGTTGTCCAGGCTAGAGTGAGTGCCGTGGCGTCAGTCTAGCTCACAGCAACCTCAAACTCCTGGGCTCAAGCGATCCTACTGCCTCAGCCTCCAGAGTAGCTGGGACTACAGGCATGTGCCACCATGCCCGGCTAATTTTATATATATATCAGTTGGCCAATTAATTTCTTTCTATTTATAGTAGAGACGGGGTCTTGCTCTTGCTCAGGCTGGTTTTGAACTCCTGACCTTGAACAATCCGCCCGCCTCGGCCTCCCAGAGAGCTAGGATTACAGGCGTGAGCCACCGCGCCCGGCCAAAAACTCTTAATAATATAGACATAGATGCTCATAGCTTAAAATTATCAAGTCCATTTATGACAAACCCACTGCCAATATCATACTGAATGGGGAAAAATTGAAACCATTCCCGCTTCGAAAGGGAACTAGACAAGGTTGCTCACTAGCTCTACTTCTATTCAACATAGTGCTTGAAGTCCTTGCAACAGCAATTAGACAAGAGAGTGGAATTAAGGGCGTCCAAATGTGGGCAGAAGAGATCAAACTGTTACTCTTTGCTGATATGATATTATATCTGTATATGAGGTGAATCCATATTTTAGTACATGCAGCAAAAGATCTGACTAGTTTTTTTTTTTTTTTTTTTTAACAAGGTCAAGGGCATGCAAAGTAAATGAAGACTGGAATACTGTTGCAGATTGGACAGGACCTGATGCATAAGGCAGACCCTGTGATGGTGGCCAATGATCCCTACCTCCTGGTATACACAACCTGCATTACCTTTTTATCCTGTAGGTGTGGGGACAATGGAGGAATTGTCAGTAGCCTGGAAGCAATATAATACAGACAAAGGTAAAGATAAAGGAAAATCATTGGGTGATTTTATTACATAAACTTGTGACACAAATGTATGTTATTTACAAAAAAACGAAAAACGATAACAAAACAAAACACCCCAACTTTAAATATGTAAACACATATCATATAAAAGTAAATTAGTACAACAAAATATTCCATAAAACTGATTATATAAAAAGCCAGAGTAGCAATATTAATTGCTGTGAGAGCAGATTTTGAAGCAAGGGAGGTTATCAGGGATAACGAGCTGCTACCCACTCCCTAGTAGCATGGTCAAGAGGGAAACACCATGTGCACTACATCATCTGAACCTGTGAAGCACACACCCAGGAGTATCTCTACAAGTTTCTGCCATTATGGGCTGTCGATGGAGTAGAAAGGCCCTGTCTTTGGACTTATTAGTTCCAGAAATTAAGGGGAGACGGAAGATAAAAGAGGGATGGAATTGATTAAAATTCACTAAAAATGTGTTTAAAAATACCACTGGGAAGGTTTTAGGAGAATAATGTATCAATAGTAATTTTTTAAAGGTTCTGAACACACTTGGTTATTCAAGATTAACCTGGACATTTTGGTGTAGTTGTAAGGCGTTTAAATATTTACTATTCCTATTCACAAATAAATAACCTAGTGATTAGGCACAGGCTCTGGAGTGAAAATCTCTTGTGTTACATGAAGTATCTTACTATCTATGAGAGTGTGATATTTACAAAAAGTGAGAAAAATGAAATAAGTAAAGAGAGCTCAAATCAGATGCATGCCTATGTAAGTTAATGCACAAATACTACAGAATTGCATAACAGAAAGGGTGGAGATAAAAGTATGCAAATCAAAAACCTGATTTAGTAGGTAGAGGGATCACAGGAAGTAATGCAGTCACAATAATCAAACTGCATAACAAATGCATGAAACAATCTACTGAATGGAATAGAGGAACAGTGGCTGACCCAAGGAATTTAGGACTTAGAGGGAGATGCTGAATCTAAATGGCAAATGATTAGCACATAATCATTTAACATTAGTTGGTAAAGTTATTACCAATGAGGATATAAGTACTAATTCTGAAACCACTACACATGTGTGGCCAAATACTATGATTGAATTAACACAACCACCTTGCTTACTGTTAGATTTACAAACAAATAAATGAAAATAGATAGATCAATTCCAGTAGTGCTGAGGTATTTAGGAATTTATGTTTAATTTAAATAGATATATATGGACACATTGAAATTATACACACATGCACACACATGTATATTTATATTGTACACAACTGGTTAATTTAAATGCCACATAAATAATTGGATCTTAGCCAAGCAGAGGCCAAGTGATGGTATTCAACTATCCAAGGCAAGATGGGCTTATTTACCACAATGGACAGGAAACAAATAAACAAACAAACAAACAGGTATAGTCCAACGTCTATAAATCTACATTGTTGGCTAGTTAATGATGGTGTTCCTAGCAGTAAAATAAGATAGAAGGCCTACTAAATTATCATGTGATCTAAATAAGCAGAAAGTATTCAGGTAAAGTGAACAAAATTCCAAATCAAATCATAAAAATATAGACCAATCTCAAGCTCAGAAATTGGAGCAGCAATTAAAAACCTCCCCAAACTCCCAGACCCGATGGCTATACTTCAGAGTTTTACCAAACATACAAAGAACTCATATCTATACTACAGAAATTATTCCACAACATTGAGAAAGATAGTATTCTTCCTAACTGATTCTACGAAGTCAATATCACCTTGATACCAAAGCCAGGAAAGGACACAACAACAACAAAAAAGAAAACTGCAGACCAATATCCCTCATGGATATAGATGCAAAAATTCTCAAAAAATTTTTTAGCAAATCAAATTCAGCAGCATATCAAAGAAATAATTCACCATGACCAGGTGGATTTTATTCCAGGGATTCAAGGCTGGTTCAACATATGCAAATCTATAAATGCAATTTATTTTGCCTCAGAAATAAAAGCAAAACAAAGACCATATGATTCTCTCAATAGATGCAGAAAAAACATTTGACAAAGTCCAACACACCTTTATGATAAAAACTCTTAACAAAATAGGTATAGATGGGTCCTACCTTAAAATTATCAAGTCCATTTTATGATAAACCCATGGACAATATCATATTGAATAGGGAAAAATTGAAACCATTCCCACTTAGAACTGGAACCAGACAAGCTTGCCCATTATCTCCATTTCTATTCAACATAGTGCTTGAAGTCCTGCCACAGCAATTAGACAAGAGAGGGGAATTAAGGGTGTCCAAATGGGGGAAGATGAGATCAAACTCTCGCTCTTTGCTGATGATATGACATTATATCTAGAAAACCCCAAGGATTCAACCAAGAGACTCCCAGAATTGATAAATGAATTCAATAAAGTCTCAGGATACAAAAATCAGTACACACAAATCAGAGGCATTCATATATACCAACAGTCAGCCCAAAATTCAAATAAAAAACACAATATCCTTTACAACAGCCTCAAAGAAAATTTAATATCTAGGAATATATTTAATGAAAGATGTGTGAGTCATATACAGGGAGAACTAGGAAACACCAAGAAAAATCATTTGTACCCCCATAATATGCTGAAAAAATATATAAAAATAAAATCAAGCATTAAAAAAAAAAGGAAATTGTAGAAGATATAAAGAGACGGAAAAATCTACCTTTCTCATGGATTGGAAGAATCAATATCATTAAAATGTCCATCCTAGGGGGAGGTGGGGCAGGGGCAATATACATAACCTTAACATTTGTACCCCTATAATATGCTGAAATAATAAAAAAAAACGATGATTTTGGGCACTGTAAAAAAAAAATGTCCATACTAAAGTGTTCTACAAAATTAACATAATTCCTATCAAAGTACCATCATCATTCTTTACAAATCTAGAAAAAATAATTCTACACTTTGTATGGAACCATAGAAGACTTCATATAGCCAAAGCAATCTTAAGTAAAATGAACAAACAGGTAGGTGTCAGTCTACCACACTTCAAGCTGCACTATAAGACTAGGGTAATTAAAACAGCATGGCATTGGAACAAGAACAGAGACACATACCTTTGGAACAGGACTTAGAATCCAGAGATAAAACCATCTGCATACAATTCATAGAGACAACTGTAACCCGGTGAGCAACAGCTCACATAATGGCCTTATGAACATTATCAATATTGCAGATATCCCTGAGTACACATCCCAAATTCCACTTTCTGCTTAACTTGGTGAAGGTTACTTGTATTTTGACGTCCTTATTTGTCATGTCTAATATTTTTATTTTTCTATAGATTTTTTCTAAATAATATACTTTTCAGCTTTTTAATATTCAAAGTTAAATAAATATAATTGCCTGCATTAATACAGAACCATAGTCAAATTCTGAGAAACTATTTAGAAAAATCCTTATGTTATATCCTACAATATACCTCATTAGTTCTTTTAAAAACAATAATAAAACAAGGTCAAAGTCATGCAAAGTAAGTGAAGACTGAAAAACTGTTGTAGACTGGACAGGACATGATGTGGAAAACAGACCCTATGATGGCAGCCAATGATCCCCACGTCCTCATGCACACAACTTTGTATTCTCCTTTTCTTCTCTTGAGCGTAGAGAGGAATTGAGATTTGCCTGGAAGGAATAGAATACAACAAAGGTAAATATATGTCACTGGGTGATTATGTTACATAAATTGTTAATTTTTTGCTTTGCTTATAAACTTTCTCCCTTAATGGCTTTGCTGGAGCAAATCTGCCTTATTTGAGAAACCTAGATAGCAAGGAATGAAATGCTTCCTCTCGTCAATGGCGAATAAGGAAAAGGCCCTTTATTAAATACCATGCCCTAGAGTTTGCAATATTGTCTTTCCAAAGAATTAAACCCTACCTTCAAATAAGAATATATTCCTTACAAGGTAGTGTTAATACATTCTAACATAATAATACTAGTTCTTCCCATTCCTTGAGTAATTGTTGCCAATCATTCCACTCATATAAAGCATACTTGCATATGTATTTCTGCATAGGTATGTAGGAATGACATATACATAAGCATAAATAATGAAATACATTGTTGTTATATTTAACAATGTGTTTTCTGTAAGCAATTAAGAGTATGAAAAATAAAAGATTTCTAGGGTAAACAGTAAAATGTAAAAAAGGAAGTATGACTTGAATGTTAATAATGGAGTTAAAATGGAATTACATAAAATGCTGAATTAAAACCCCAAAATGCAGAAAATGAGTGGTCAATCAAAACAGGAACAAAGACAAAGGACATAATCAAAAGGTATCAGCAAATATGATGGATATTAATCCAACTACATCAATATTCACATTGAATACAAATGCCAATGGTTTAAATTCACCCAATAAAAGACAAAAAATGTCAGAGTCAATGGAAATAGAATACAAATGTGTGTTTAAAAATATTTTAAATATGTACAACTATATTGGCCTTTATCAAAATATCTCCAAACAATAAATGCTGGCGTGGTTGCAGAGAGAGAGGAACACTCCTACACTGCTGGTGGGACTGCAAACTAGTTCAACCTCTGTGGAAAGCAATATGGAGATACCTTAGCATACAAGGAATCTACCATTGATCAGCATCCCATGCTGGGCATCTACCCAAAAGATCCAAGGACACTCTACAAAAAAGCACCTGCACTCGAATGTTTATAGCAGCACAATTCATAATTGCAAGGCTGTGGAAACAGCCCAAGTGCCCATCAATCCAAGAATGGATTAATAAATGTGGTATAGTATACCATGGAGTACTATTCAGCTCTAAGAAACAATGGTGATATAGCACATCTTATATTTTTCCTGGTTAGAGCTGAACCCATACTACTAAGTGAGAATCCAAGAATGGAAAAACAAGCCACCAGATATATTCTCCGCAAACTGGTATTACTGAGTAGCACCTAAGTGGACACATAGGTATCTATAGTAATAGGGTATTGGGCAGTGGAGGGGGGAGGAGGTGGGTATATACATACATAATGAGTGAGATGTGCACCATCTGGGGATGTCATGTGGAAGCTCAGACTTTTGGGGGGAGGGGGGGACATGGGCATTTATTGAAACCTTAAAATCTGTACTCCCATAATATGCCAAAATAAAAAAAAAAGTAAATGGACACCGAAAAATATGCCATAACAGTAATTATATAAAAGGAGTAGCAATATTAATTTCTGAGAGAACAGATTTTTAAGAAAGGGAGGGTATCAGGGATAACCAGCTGCCACACACTCCTTGGTAGCATGTTCTAGAGGGAAAGACCATGCCCACTGCATCATCTGAATTTGTGCAAGAAGCACCCAGTTGTGTCTCTACAAGTACCTTTCACCGTCGGCTGCTGATGGTGAAGTATAAAGGCCCCTCTTGGGACTTTTTGACTCAAGAAATCAAGAAAATAAAAGAGGAGACAAGGCATTCAATAAAATTCACTATGAACATGATAAAAATCATACAGGGAGTGTTTGGGGGAGGATTGCCCAAATGTCAGATAATGATGGATCAACAGTAATGTTTTAATGTTCTAAACACACTTGTTTATTCAAAGTTAACGTTGGTGTAGGTCTAAGGCATTCATTTATGCCTCTTTCTTCATTAAAGATCAGTCTAGTGTTTAAGCATTGGCTCAGGAGTGAAAAATTATTATTAAATGAGGTAACTTACTAATCAAGAGAGTGTGATATTTACCCAAACTGAGAAAGATGAACAAATGTGAAAACAAAGAGAACTCAAATCAGACACATGCCTATATAAGTTAATGAATAATCCTACTGAATTGTTTAACAGAAAGTCTGAACATAAGAGCATGCAAATTAAAATGCTGATTAGGTAGATAGGAGGAACCCAGGGAGAAATGCAGACACAATAATAAAACTTTGTAACAAATCCATGAAACTATCTCACAGAATGGAGTAGGGGAAGAGTAGCTGATATAAGTAATTTAGGAAATATTAATACTTCTCCTAAATGAGTCTAAAGAACAAAGGAGTTGTACTTAATCACTTAACATTAGTTGATTAAGCTATTTCCTATGAGAGTATAATTATTAATCCTGAAACCACTACATATGTACGTCCAGATGGTATGATAGAGTTAAGAAGACCAACTTTCTCACTCTTAGATTTACAAAGAAATGAAAATAGAACAATTCATGTAATGTTGAAGTATTAATAAGAATTCACGTTTAATTTAAATAGATACAAATAACACTGAAATTATATATATATATGTATATTTATATTTATGCATAACTAAACAATTTTCATGCCATGTAAATAATTGGATCTTAGGCTACGGAGGCCAAGTAGTGGCACTGAAATATCACAAGCAATGTGGGCTTGGTTACCACCATGGACAACAAAAGCAAAGCAACAGCAAATATAGTTTGACTTGTGTAGACCTACCGTGCTGGCTAGTTAACTATGATGTTCCTAGAAGTGAAATAAGATTGGAGACCTAATAAATTATCACTTGATCTATATAAGCAGAAAAAATGCAGGTCAAGTGAACAAAGTTCCCAATCAAATCACAAAAACATAGAATCATTATTCCTCAATCATTTCTCAGGCTTGAGGCAGTTTACATTCTCAGGACCTTTATCTTAGAAGCAGCAGCAACTGGCTTTCCTGCAGGAAGGACTCTGGTACACTCTCAAAAATGTATATTGTTGATCTTTCTCACATCCTTTCCGAAAGGGACTTATGCCAACTTTTATCAAGGTAACTGTGCTTTGGGAAATAATCAGAACTTTTAGGGACATTGCACTTGCTTCTCAACTGATATTGATTACAGGGGACCTGAAATGTCCCTGTGGCCCTGCAGTTAGAGTAGAGGGTAGGAATGTCAGGAGACCAATAAAGTTTCACCTTTTTCACCTAATGAAGAAGTCACTTTACTAGAACCCTGAATCCATGCTGTGTTCAATTCCTCAGTTCTAGAATGTACAGGTGAAATAGATATAGAAGCTGGCAGAATTCCCACATTGGTTCCCAATCTGTGGAGAGAGGGCAATAATGGTAGAAAGTTCAAATGGAAGTCATTAGAGCTGTCCTACATAGGAAATTAGCAAATAAAAACAAAACTGCCTCCATACAGGTAGAGCAGAGAGTATTTACACTATCAAGGGCTGGAAAGATGCAGTTGTGGTAGTGGTAATTCCCAACATGTCCCCAGTCAACTCTTCTCTCTGGTCTATGCAAAAGACAGAGAGAGCCTGGAGAATTACAATGCAGTGCACTGCCATTATTTGAACCAAGTGCTGACTTCAATCCCAGATGCTGTTCCAGATGTGGTTTCACTGCTTGAGCAAATAAACACATCTCCTTGTGCCTAATATGCTGCTATTGTCCTGTCAAATGCCTTTTTCTCCATCCCTGTCCACAAGATCCACCAGGAGTTAGCTGTCAGTGGCAAAACCAGAAGTACAACTTCATTGTCTTACCTCAGAGGTATACAAACTCCCCAGCCTACATTATACTTTAGTTCTGAATGTGCATCAGAATCTTATCTCAGCAGAATAGGGCTTTTATAATCAGTGGAGAGAATAATCAGTTCTGAGAATACTACTTAGCCTCTTTCCCCACATTTCTCAATGGGCTAATAAACAAAGTGTCTGCAGTGACAGGACTGGAGATTGTGCATGTGCTGAGCAACAAAGGCTTCCACTCATTAAGGCTGACCTGGCTATGACCCCTTCTTAGCGCTCAGTCTTCTACAAAATTTTTGAGGAAATAGATTTGAGATATTTCTCCTGTCTCTCTACTTAGCACTATGTGGATTAAACTCTTTCTCTGCTGCAAATCCTGATGTCTCAGCATATTGGCTTGCTCTTGGGCAGCAGGCAAATGAACCTGGTTGGGTGGGTACAATTTGGGGCTTCATCTAAGATTGCCCTAATAGGCATATGCCCATTGATCAGCAGCCTCTTACCAGTGGAGCAGACTTAGAGACATTTTCTAGTGTCTGCTCAGTTTTCTTTGACTGCCATCCCTGACCCTGTCCGTATAGGTGGGACATTGCCAATCCATGATGCATGGACATGTTTACAGTATAGAAACAGTTTCTGGAACTTGGGTACATCCTAGTGATTATTCAAAGCATGCACAGAACTCCTCTTCTCTCTCCAGAGTGTTTAGCCTCTCTGGAGGTATTTTGCCTCCTTCATGAGTCTTGATTTGCTTTTCCCATATTATAGACAAAGTCTTGTTTTAGAGAGACTTCTCCTTAGTTGGACAAAGAATATAGAGTCTGTCTAGAAGAACACTCTTGAAATTTTTGGAAGGCCTTTTGGCTTTGATATGTACTTTAAATTAAGTACATCATTAAAAATTAATGGCAAAAACGGACCCATTAAGTTAAAGAATCCCAAATTTAAAACTTCATTATAAAGATCCTTTATTCTAAACAATTGTCTTACTTGTATTTATAAGAATATTAGAACTAAAGGAACATGTAACAATTCTGCTAGCCTTAAAAATTCTCTTTGCAAAATGGAAATGCAAGTATGTGGTCCAAAATACACATAAAAATGCTTTGAACACTGCTCCTCTGGGAAGAATGGCAGAGGAGAAGTTTACCTCATAATCTAATGGTTAAAATTTTTAGCTTTCAATTCTGCAGCCTAGGTTTGATTCTTGGGCAGGGAATGAACTAGTATCAGTCTAGTATTAGTGTAACTTTTGCATTTGTTAATGCTTGTGAAAATTTCCTTTGAGACATTTTTGTGACTTTTTAGATCTCATGAACCTTTTTTTTTAAACTCTATGGAGACACTCCTTGCTTCTTTGATTAAGCAATAAACTGGGTTAAGGCAACTTAGAAGGGCACTTTGGTTAAAATGTTTGAAAGCAAAATTATTAGCTGTTTGCCCTGGCTAGAGTTGGCTCCATTTACTTTCATTCCTCTCTGCTCCTTCCTTTTTGCCAATCTCTGAACCTTTGACAAACAAAAGCAGTCAACTGTTGAAGGCAAACACTGCACCAAACTGTCCATGGATCCTCCTTAACCACTTGGCAGCTCTGTAGTCTTGTTGTGGCCCATTTACAGGACAGAGGATGAACACAGAACACAAAACACAAATGCAGAACACAAAGAAAAATGCAGACACATGTACAAACGGTTGACTCAAGTAATAAGACACCGGGTCCGTTTTATTTTTATACTCTAAAAGATTAAAGTTAGTTCCTTGTACGTAACCACCCAGGCATGGCAGTGATAGCCATAAATTCCAGAACATGTGGCCTTAGAGAAGGAGATATTCCCTGACTCAGAATTTCAAGGTGGTTGCTCTAGGCACTAGGCATAGATAAAGGATCGAGATTAGCAAGGATGGGCAAGGTGAGCCACAAGGGGCGTTTCTCATCCTCAGCTTCTCTTAGGGTGAGCCCCTAAGATCTTCGGCTGAACCCTGGCGTCTGTGCATGGCTTAGGTCACCCCTCCCTTGAGGGGTCTTACCTGTCATTGACTAATCAGCCATCTTATGGGGTGTTTATCGTGTGGCCTCCAGACCCCCAATGCTGTGGGGTTGGGTAGCTCAGCTTGCTTACTTGAAGCTCAGGTCCTTTGTTATGCCTCTAGGCAACACCTTGCTTTTGTTATGCCTCAAGGCAATAGGGGCCTTGTCTGGAACATATTACTTTTAAATGCTCTGGGCAGAGCACGTACATTACTAAATTTAATTCTTAAACTAGGAAAATATATGTCAGTCCCCTACATAGTCTCTCTGAACTTTTTTCTAAGTTAGCCATCTTATTTGTGGACTATTTTTTTTCTCAATAAACTCTCAAATTTCATTTTTCAGAAGTGGATCCCAAAAGAGAGCTCTTAGGAACCCTCAAAGAGCACCAAGAGGACAACTGAGGTACCCCCCAGGTTGAGCCCATAACTGGAACCTGTAAGTTGTCTCTCAGATTCTGAAGCTCCACAGAGTTGCTTTGTAAGCTCTCCAAATTTGATTTAGGAAATGCTTGAATTTAACTTGTTTGAAAGTTTCAATTGTTCTGAGTCTGGAATCTGAATGAATCTTATTATCCTGCTTCAACATACAAGGTGGCTACATATGGGCACCACTATGTCTGATTGATTTTTTCTATCCTTTTGTGGAGATGGGGTTCTTGATTTGTTGCTTGGATTGGTGTCAGACTCTTGGCCTGGTATAGTGCTCTCACTTTGGCCTCCAAAAGTGCTGGGATTGCAGGCATAAGCCATAACTCTTTCTCCTCAATCATATATCTTGAATCCCTTTTATAAAATATTTTCTATGTATACAAAAAGAAAATTTTGTTAATAAACTTGTCTGAGAGAAAGGACTGAGACACTAGAAACTCTTGCCACAGTTTGAAATTTACATGACAAGTCTTACCTTTGTTTAGTGTACTTTTCCTGGGTATCTTACCTAAACTGAAAATGTGCATGTAACCTATTTTTCTTTCTTATATTATTATTTTTTTCTTGATAGGAGCACATGAAGGTACAACATTTAGGCTTAAAATCTTAGCTCTGTATTTTGAAATGTAATTTTTCTGCCTGGTTTTATCTAGGAGTCTTCTTCTTAGAAGGGAAATTATTGCCTAGCTAACAATTGCTTACAGCAATAAAATAGGTAAATAAATGATTGAGAGTCTCAATTTAAAACATATATATATTTTTAAAAGGTGACAAATAAAAATTCTGCTTCTGTCTGTATGCTTGCATGTTTCTGTGTCTCTGTTTCATGTGTATTGGCATTTCACTCCCAAAATATATAAAAATGCAATAGTTAATTGACTTAAAAAATAAGCACTTAACTGAAATATCTTATCAGGAATGTGGGAAAGAACTCAAATGCCTTCTAATTCACATGATTTTGGTAACATTTGGTAAAAAGAACTAGTTTTAAAACTGTTATTAAAGTTTAGATGTGTTAACATCATAATGGTAAGGAAGACTCTCATCAATCTAATATGAACCTACTATGTGGCTTCTGCAATCATACTTATATTTTGCATCAGCCAGCTGAGACCCCACCGCTCAGAAGACCCTCACCTAATACTAACATATTACCTGGCTTCACCAATTGCATCAGCCACCTGAGACGCCACCCCTTGGACTCCCTCAACCTGATAAATGTGGAAAAACCCCAGTAATTGGGGCTCAGAATTTGGTGGTGAGATCCCTTTGAGTGTGCCAGCGAATAAACCTTGATTCTCTGACTCTCCATGTGCCACTTGGTTTGTCCTTGGAACCACCTGTTGTAACACTTGCTCTAATATTTTTGTTCCCTGACTGGGAAACTGAACGGGCTGGCTTGTAGAAGCCACTGGTTGGGGAAGGGTGTGGTGACTGGTGGAACCTCAGGAACAGAAGTGAACTGGCTGATGCCAACCGTCATTTTGCAGAATATCTTTGCTCCTTGGGGATCCCAAACTCGCTGGACATGCTGGAGGGATGGACAAGTCAAATCAAGTCTGGAGGCATCAGACCGGGTAAGGTCACAAAACCCCTCCGAGTGACACCCATGAGAGGACAGAAGAGGAGCTTGATCACCTCGAGTGCGGGGAATTCCCAGGGCAGGAATGTGTAACCTTTGCTTGTCTGAAATAGCGAGTGAAGAGTGAATGTTTGTAGTTCCATGGCTACAGCTATGGAACCTGAGTGGGTCCTCACCTGCGGTTCTGTGGCAGTGGTGGTGGTGTATGGCATAACAGTGATTCACTCCCCTAAAGGGAATGACCATGAGTTTATACAGGCACACATTAGCCAAGACATGCCTAAGTTCCTGCCAGGGATGCAGCCAGGAGGACACCAGAGAACTTCCCCCCCCACATTTGTATGGTAAGCTGTGACACCATTCAAAGGTCTAGGATGGGTAGCATAGAATCTAAGCCTACAGTCCTTAAATGCATGCTAAAAAAACGTTAAGAAGGATTTCACAGGAGATTAGAGCATCACACTGAGTCCCAGTTGACTTAGGATACCCTGTGAACACCAATGGCACACATTCTGGGTCAACTGGCCCTCAACAAGAACCTTATTCCTCCCACCATGCAAGCAGTTCAGGGAGTCCTGACTGAGACTCCCAGCCACCCTGACCAATTCCCTTACATAGATTCAAGACTAGAGATTGCTTAGAGCATGCATCCTTGTGTCCAGTTTTGTGCTAATAAGGAACAGAGCAGGATTTTTGTGGCCCAAAGGACCAGAGACTCCAAACTGTCCAAACACATCTATCAAAAAGCTTCTGAAGAGTATCCAACATCACAGCCCTACCACCCTACTGTGATAGCTCCTGAAGTAACCCCGAATCCACCAGACACCTGACCACCATCAGTCTCTTGGCTGCCAATTCCAGACCAAACAGGTGCCAACACTCCCATCAACCACAGTCTACAGTCAGCTCAGGCCCCAACTTCCACCCTCCAGATGCCCCTGCATGAGGTGCAAAGTCCAATGCAGGTTATGGGTGATGGGGTCGATCAACCAGGTTAGCTGGTCCTGTACTACAAGCCCTTCCCCACCACTGACCTACTGAAATGGAAGCACCGCACTCTGCCATACTCTGAAACACCTCAGGCCCTCATTGACCTGGAATCCATCTTTCAGACCCACTATCCCATCTGGGAAGACTGCTTTCAGCTCCTTATGATCATTTTTAACACAGAAGAATGACACCATATTGTAGCTGGGACCCAGACGTGGCTCTAGGACCATGCTCCAGCAGGGACCTTGGACCTGGAGCAGTGGGTGTAGAGAGAATCACCTAAGACTAACCTTGATTGGGATTTCAACTACCCAAGCAGACTTGAGGCACTCAGAAGGTATAGGGAAGCTCCCTCCCAGGTCCTGGGAGGGAGTCAGAAAACCAACCAACATGAACAAAGTCACTCTGATCACCCAGACAGAAGTCAGAGGAATCACTGAGAAAATTCTACGAGCACCTTTGTGAGACCTACGAGTCTACACACCCTTTGACCTAGAGGTGGCCAAAAATCAACAGATGGTAAATGCCAGATTTATTGGACACTCCCATACTGACATCCAATGGAAACTCCAGAAACTTGATGGGTGTGCAGAAATGAATATCACATAGCTGATGGAAGTGGCCCAGAAGGTCTATGTTAATCAAGACCAGACCGCCTAGCATGAGAAGGACAAGAAAATGGAACAGAAAGCAGCTATCCTGGGCACTTCCCTTGGAAAACTTGACCCAGCCAAAAGACCTGGCCCACCACGGGAAGGAGGACCTAGGAGATGAGGGACCCTGAAGTCTTACCAGTACACCTATTGAAAGGGGATTGGTCACTGGAAGTATGACTGCCCTAACAAGAGAAACCACCCACCAACAAACAGGAACCTGACCAGAGCCATCCAGCAGGAGCTAGAGACCCAGGACTTCATCGGTCTTATGAGGGTCGACTCATAATTGGACCAATGGGTTTACCTGACAGTTGGGCACCCAGGAGCCTATGATTGTAATGGAAGTGGGAGGCCAACCAATAATGTCCATGGTGAACACTGGGACAGAACATTCGGTGGTAACAACCCTGGTGGCTCCACTTACAAAGTGGAAAATCACCATTGTGGGAGCCACTGGAACTTGAGTAGTTCAACCCTTCTGCCAATCCTGGATATGCCAGATGGTGGGGCCATCAAATAAGACATGAAATCCTATACATATATAACTGTCCCATTCCCATGCTACGTTGAGAACTCCTGAGCAAATTGGAAGCCCAGATCATCTTCCGCCTGGAAAGGACCCTGAGTGTCACACTCAGTGCCCCAGAGACTCTCATATTGGCAGCCACCCTGCGCTGGGATTCAGAATGGAAGATATATGACCAGGCCAAAGAGGAACAGAACCCACCTGACCTCCAGCAAGAATTTCCATCAGCATGGGTGGAGGACAACCCCCGCCCCCACTGCCTGGTCTTGCACACCAATATGCATTCATGGAGATTAAGATGAAACCAGGAGCATAACTGACCAGAAGATGACAGTACCACATCCCCAAGGAGGCTAGAGAGGGAATTAAGGAACACATCAATAGGCTCATCTGGAAGAGGATTTCTATGGAATGTCAAACCCCATGGAACACTCCCCCCCACCCATTAAAAAGCCCAAAAGTGGTAGATATCAGCCTGTCCAAGGCCTGCAACTGATTAATGAGGCTACAGTAACTCTCCACCCAGTGGTACCAAATCCATACATACTCCTGGGCCCCATTACTCCTGATTTTGCCTTGTTCTCCTGACTGGACTTAAAGGGTGCTTTCCTCTGCATGCAGCTCACTCCAAAGAGCCAGTCCCGTTTCACCTTTAAGTGGGAGGACCTCAGACTAGAAGGAAAACCCAGCTGACTTGGACTGGACTACCACAGGGATTTAAAAATTAACTTACTCTATTCAGCGAGTCTCTAGCCACTGACCTAATCTTCTTTCCAGGAGAAGAAACCCACTGCACACTTCTACAATATGTCGATGAACTCCTTCTAGCAAGTCTAACCAGAGAAGACTGCCACCACAGAACCTGGTGCATGCTCCAACTGCTCACTGACAAAGGATGCAAAGTCTCCTGGAAAAAAGCACAAATCTATAGGCGAAAATTAAAGTACCTCAGTTTCCACATTACTCAGGGGTGTTGGACACTGGGACATGAGCAGAGGCACACCATGTGTACAATTCCCAGACTGACTGATCAGAGAGAACTCAGAGAATTCCTGAGAATCACTGGATTCTGCTACATCTAGATCCCAGGGTTCTCCCTAAAGGGCAAGCCTCTGTACAAAGTCATACACTGGCCTGAAAACAAAGAATTGGAATGGGCCAAGGGTCAGGAAAGGGCTTTCCAGGAAATAAAAGACGTACTACAAAGAGCCCATGTACTAGGAATGCTGGACCTCACCAAAGAATTTAACCTGTTTGTACATGAGAAGAAACTAATGGGTCTGGGTGTTTCGACTCAAACTGTACACCCTTGGCAGAGACCAGAGGCTTGTGAAAATAATTGGATCCAGTAGTGCAGGATTGCCACCTTGCCTCCACGCAATGGTGGCCATCAAGGAAGCACACAAACTCACAATGGAATAGAACCTCTGTGTGTGAGTCCCTGACATAGTAATATCTCTAATGAACACCTCAGGGCACTGGTGGCACTCAAGCAACTGGTTAGTATAATACCAAGAACTGCTATGCAGAAATCCATGGGTTACCCTGGAGACTGTGCAGACCTTGAATCCCACGATACTCCTACCCACTGACCCAGGGCCCCTGGACCACAATTGCATGGAAGCAGTAGATGAGGTCTATGCCAGATGGCCATATATGAAAGATGGCCCTATATCAGCACCAGAGTTAGAACTCTACAAGGATGGCAGTAGTTTTGTCCAGAATGGGAAACAACTGGACTACTTTGCAGTCATCATCACAGTCAAAGAGGTTATTATGTCAGCTCCCTTGCCCCAAGGGTGGTAGGCACAAAGGGAGCCTCAGCCTCACAAAGGGAGCCTACCAGCCATCATCCAAGTCCTCAGACATGCCCAGGGTAAGAATGTAAACATATACAAAGACTGTAAGTATGCCTTTGTAACAATACATATCCATGGGGCGATACACAGGGAGAGGGGCCTGCTGACTGCAGGTGGAAAGGAGACCAAAAATAAGGACAGAATCCTTCAACTGCTAGAAGCAGTTTGGAAGCCAAAATAAATTGTGGTAATCCACTGTTGAGGGCACAAAATGGCACAGATACAATCACCACTGTCAACCAGCTGACAGATCAAGTAGCCAAAAATGCAGCCAGCTGAGGATGTACCAAGGATAATACTCCAACCCAGTGCCAAATCTCGCTGGCACCCGAGTGGCCAAAAGAACCAAAATATACTCTAGAAGAGAACCAGTGGACAGAACAGGAGAAGGCCAAGAAGGATGCAAATGTGTCTCTGCAGAAAAGACAGATTCTAGGAGAAATTAGAAGAAAGAAGCTAGCAGACGAGCATACATCAGATGAGGGTTGGAAGGATGGATACCTAAGACCACAGGAGACTCCCAAGGAGGAGGTTGCAGAAGAGAACTGGAAGCAGAGACCTCCCGAGTAGCCCGGAGACCAGCGGCAAGGGGAGGTGGAACAGTCAACTTTCCCCTCCCTTGCATCTTGGACTGCTGGTGAGCTACCCAGCAGTTGGAGAGACCTGCAGACACCACGCCAGAGATGGCCACCACCAGT